CCATAATAGGCTTTTTCACAGTAAGTGAAGAATTTGTGGCTGAATTGGGGTTAAGTCTGTCCATTTGCAAGGAAGTGACTGGCAGGCCAGTAGGCTCTCACTATATCCCAAATGCTATAATGGAGCACATTTTCTCCTTGGAGCACCAAGATCTAAACTACATGCCTTAGCTCTTGATCAGTCTTTTAGTTAGTCAATGAATTTTCATAGAGCACCAACTATAATCCAACTATAATTAACTGGGTGCACATTTGTATTTCTTACATTTAGCCTTACTGAGAAGATTGTTTAATTTCTTTAGGTAAGAGCCACTGGGATTTTGCAAGGGAGGTAACTCAGTAAATGCCCTTGTGTCTATGCTCTGTGCTTTAAAGTGGAGGAAGGATATGGGAATGACCAATGAAAGAAGCATGTCCTAAGTACAAACCTTAAGTCACTGTTCCTGGTTACAGCCCTATTTCTCCTTCACCTCTATCATACCTGGTAAGTGCTGAATCCAGCATTTCTCCAGGTTCTGATGGTCAGGTCTGCACCTCAAACACATTCTTTTCCACCTGCTTCACTCATGAATATTTGATCATCTATCTACTTCTGATATTCCATACCAGTACAGAAAATCTCTGACTCAGTATCATTCTCCAGCAGTTTTATTCATAAATCTAGTTTTTTTCCTCTTTTTGTACATTGAACTTTTATTTTAAGAGATCCAAAGAGGGACATAGTATGCATTGCTTTGTACAACTACTTAAGTATAATAATAATAAAAAAGATATTGGGTCAGTCCACTACCATCTTGAACAAACTCCTAATTCATTTATGGTAAGTAACAAAGATAATAAAAACATAAATATAAATTAAAACATCTTTTATTACCAAATTTTGTAGTGTAGTCAGTGAAAGTTGTTTTATTGACCTTTTTTTCCTAGAGAAGCCGTCATATGGATTTTACTTGAAACATTCATTCAAGACTTGTGAACTTTGAAGAATAATAGTCTCTTAAAGATAATTTTATATTAATTACCTTTTCATTGTACTGTTTGCCTGCCTCTCCCTCTCCCCCTCCCTCTCTCTCTTCTCTCCTGTCTCTCTCTCTCTCTTTCTCTCTCCTTTTTCTATATCATCCCTATACAAAATTAGAGGGAAGAGAACATCATAGAGGGGCGATTCCAGAAACCTGTTTAAAAGAAAATGCAGTCAGGGTCTTCTCATTGGTAGTGATAGAGTTGTTTGTGGCTTACTGTACTATAGTCTAAATGCTTTTATTAAATGCTAGATAAAGAGCACTCTTCTTCCCTCTGCCATCCCTCTGACTCACTAACCACCTAGAGTACAAGTATTAATTAAATGATCTTGAGTAAGCACTAGAAAAGTAGGAGTGCCTGTAGAAGGGCTCAGGAGTCACTCCTCACACTGTTTAGAGACTTTCTAAATAGACTCTATAACATAAAACTGTAGATACTTGAAGTTGGAAGAGTTCTGTGCTCTTCAGTGAACCATTTGTATCTTACCTCTTCCAATGGCAAGACTCCTAAAATTTAACCAGTCAATAATTATTCGGCCTCTATGTGAATAGTTCAAGTGATAGAGATCTTTATTACATTAGGAATAGCACAGATCCCTGTAAGACAGTTGTATTCACCAGAAAGTTCTTAACAAAATTTAGTCTTCTTTCTGGAAAGCCTTAACAACTAATTCGAGCTATCTTGTTGAATCCGCTGCCTTATGCAAAATAAGGAACTCAAAATAATGGCAAGATTGTGGTCTCAGAGACATACAGTCTTGCAACATTTCAGTTCTGAAATGTTCAATTCTAAGTACACATCCATAGGAAAGTTGCTCAACAGCTAAGAGCCCTAACTTTTTTATCTGCTCAAAGAGGATAATAAGTACCTATAAGGGCTATGAGGGTTAAAATAGCCCGTGTAAAGCATCTGACATGTCATGAGTGCCCAATGAACATTAGTTCCTTTCTCTTCCACACCCAAGAAAGCTCTTCAGATATGAGAAGACAGTTAATATGTCTCTCCAACTCAGCCTAAACATCCCTAATTTCCTTCAGCTGCATCTCATAAGACTGGCCTGTGAGCTCCAGGGCATGGAGACATGATTTATGCAACTAGAGCACCTTGCATAGATTTGAGAAACAGTTTATATTCAAAAGATGCTAACTAATCAAAATTAAGATGAACTTTATATGCCAATCCATACTCTCAAAAGAAGTCTTCTTTCTGGTGGGGGAGGATCTGCTTAGAAACTATTTATAGATATTAACCATCAGAGTCGACTTTCCCCCAACATTCAGTTAGCTTGCACTTGGTTTGATTACTTTGAATTTTTTTAAGTTTCTTTCTGAATAGTAATGCAGCCATTAGCACATTTTCTCATTTAATTATCTCTATTTTCACATTTTCAATGATTTGGTCTTTGTCTTTTACACTTGTTTTCATGGGTCTGTTGTCTATTCTTACAGTCTTTGAAAAGGAGTTGGGGTGGTTTTGTTTTGTTTTATTTTGTTTTTTGTTGTTGGTGGTGGTGGTCGTGGGGCTTGATCTGTGGGCCTGAGTGCTGTCTCTCAGTTTTTCAGCTCAAGGCATGTGCTTTATCACTTGAGCCACAACACCACTTCTGGTTTTCTGCTAATTTTATTTGGAGATAAAAGTCTCATGGACTTTTCCATGTTGGCTTTGAGCTGTGATCCTCAGATCTCAACCTCCTGAGTAGCTAGGATTACAGGTGCAAACCACCAGCGCCCAGCTTAGGGGTGCTTATAAACATAGGTAACCCTCATTTTAAATATCTACTGAAAAGCTAAATGTAAATCTCCCATTAATTAAATACCCTCTAGAGGGACTCTAAAAGACAATAAAAGCATTTTCCTATTCTGCATCTCAGATTTCTTTTCTGTTCTCACCTCAGCATCCACATTACAGAAAGAACACAAGAATGTGGAAGCTCATTTCTAAGCTGCTGAAATTATTTTTTAAAAAATACCTTTATAAAAGCAGACGTCAATCACATTTTTTAAATAACATCAACTTAGTAATAAGCAAGGTTCTGCATATCCAGCAAGAATTTTTTTTTTGGTCTGACTGGCTCTGAGCAAGAAGAGCAGAGCATTAAAACAGCTGAATCAACTGGAATCTCCACTTCTGTCACATGACTAAGTAGGGCCTTTATTTTTAAACACATAATTGATACCCATCTTTCAGGGTTAGGTCAAATACAGGCCATCCTGAGGGCAAAATCAGGAATCAAGTGACTTTGGAGATCCCTGTCAGCTCTATGATTTATCATACAGAAAGATAATTGTATCCTCAGGTTAAAAAAAAAGAAAAGAAAAACAAAGAAATACCACCTTGACATCCTGAAGATTCTTTCAAATAAACAGTGCAAAAAGCCAATAATGAAGATCTTTCCCCCTCCTATGGATGCATCTGAAGCCAAGACTTAACTGAAGCTGCCCAAGAATTAAAGGAAAATATTATATGCATCTAAGAGCAGAAAAGGAGGGGAGACTGGGCTTGACGGTGATGAATCAGATCATTACACCCAGAGGGTGTCTCCTCCTAACTGTGCAATTAGAGACTCAATAAAAGGTGCCAGTACCTGTTGTCAGCTCAAAGCCCGCTGCCCCACATTCCGCTTGCTCTCACCTGTGGTCGAGGTAAGTCTCACAGACTATTTGCTTGAGCATGCTTAGAGTCTCAGCTATTGCATTGCTTGTATGTGAGATTTTTATTAGTCGTTCAGAGAAAACATGTTCTAAATCAACTCCTGTTAATAATATTAGACTGGGAATCTAGACATCCAAAATGCATTGTTACTTTTTAGCATTTCCTTTGTTGGAAAAATATAAACAGTTTGTATTACATGGACATGAATTCTCTTTTATAAGGCATAAGACTCAGATCTATGTTAAAATGAAAATGTAAGGGTTGGAAAGGTGGCTCAGTGGTAGAGTACTTGCCTTGCATGCATGAGGCCCTGGGTTCGATTCCTCAGCACCACATCAGCAGAAAAGGCTGAAAGTGGCGCTGTGGCTCAAATGGTAAAGCACTAGCCTTGAGCTGAGGAGCGAGGAACAGCGCCTAGGCCCAGAATTCCGGTCCCATGACCAACAACAACAAAAAAAAAAAAAAAAGAAAATGAAAATGTAGAGTCGTTAAGTTAAATGATTGGTAGTATCTAAGGGGTCCAATCTCTATTTAACCAGTGAGTTCACATGGAACCATAATTTCTCTAAAAATGGGTTCTTTCCACCTGCCACATGGGGATTGACTTTCTTGGCATTGCTTTTCTGACCTCTAGAAGCTTTACTAACTTTAAAAGCTGTACTTTTGCAGGGCGGCAGTGGCTCACACCTGCAATCCTAGCTACTTATGAAGCTGAGATCTGAGGACTGAGGTTCAAAGCCAGCCCAGGCAGGAAAGTCCATGAGACTCTTATCTCGAATAAACCACCAGAAAACTGGAAGTGTGTGCTGTGGTTCAAGTGGTAAAACACTAGCCTTGAGCTGAAGAGCTGAGGGACAGCACCCAGGCCCAGAGTTCAAAACCCATGACTGACAAAACAAGAGAGCTATATATTTTCTTTCCTAAGAAGAGGAGATTGGACTGAGTAGAGAAAAGAAAGCAGGCAGACCCTCACAGATAAGGTTCAGAGGACTGGTCCCCACTGTTGATTTCATTTGTACATTTATACTTTTGCTTGAGTTCTTTTTTTAATCTCTTCTTGAAATAAAGTATTCTCAGGATACACAAATATTGTTTATCCCCTCAGAGGAAGGAGAAGTGTCTATTTTAATGCCAACCTGTGCTAGATCAGATCTCACCACAATGTCTTGTACAAAACTAAAGCACTCTTGGAATTCCAGCACAGTATTTTAAGATAGCGAATAGAGCAGGTGATGTAAGGAGAGTTGGAGGCGGAGCATTTCCTGGAGTATTTATCCTGGGATATAAGCTTTGTTCTTTCTCACAGACTGCTTTGAATTTGTAAAGATGCCTCACCTTCTGAGAAATGTCCTCTGTGTGATTGAGACATTCCACAAGTATGCCAGAGAGGATGGTGACAAAGCCACGCTGACCTGCAGAGAGTTGAAACAGCTCCTTCAGGGCGAGTTTGGGGACTTGCTTCAGGTGAGGTGCTTATAGAGCTGTAGAAGTTCCTTCTTACTACCACCTTACAATCCAAGCAAGATTGGCATAAGAGATTTCAGCCCATTTTACACTTGCCTACCAGCTTTCAACTCTCACTAACTTCTGGCCAATTTTTGCCATCTAGTTACCTCTCCTGTACAATTGCATAGTCAGTCCTACAAAGAAAAGGTCTCCATTACTGAAACTATTACTTCATCAAAGTAGACTTCTGAGTTGAGTCACAAACTATTATGCATCATATAAATGTTCCTTGGTCCAAACTCTGTGATGGAAAATGGCATTAGAAGCAATGAATTCTCATTGTGGGGAGGAAACTTCACTAACTCTTAGAAACAGGATCAATAGAAGAGATTTGGGGAGCTAGATACCTGGCATGTATAAATAAGCTGATTTGTCATTGTGTTTCCATGCAGCCACATATCATTCATGCTGTGGAGAGAAACCTGAATCATCTAGATATTGACAGTGATGGCACCATCTATTTTGATGAATTTGTTACTGCAATGTTCAGCTTACTGAACCTTTGTTATCATGAAATACAAGCATTACTACATTTAGGATCAAGCCAAGTATCTAAATCAGAGAAGCCAGATGACATAGATCTTCAGGCAGCTTCCCGAAATGGTCATCAGACAGCAAGAACTCTGCCATCTCAAGAAAAGATGGATCTTCCTGCAGAAATGTCAGCAGCAGCTCAATTCAGCCATGAAGAAGATGAGGCAGTTGAACACAATAGAACAGATCCACAGGAAGACATCAAGACTTATAACCTGCCATGGGAAGCATCTGAGCCCAATGACCCTAAGAACCAACATCTGGAAGGAGATGAACAGGACCAGGAACAGAGCCAAGATATACCAGCATTGGGACACAATAGAACCCCACTCAAGACAAGTAAGCTAACAGAAGAATCAAAACACACAAGCAGTAAAAAGGATATCCCTAGGGAAGAAGATAGACCAATCCGGAGGCAAAGTGATAGCAAGATAAGGGACAGGAATAGAGAACAGAAAGAACACTTGAAAATCCAAGAAACTACACAAAAGCTGTTGGAAGACCAGGAAGTTGCTGCAGAAAAGGGTATTAAAAACCACTCTAAAACACAAGAACCATTCCTACAAAGAAAAGATGGAATCAGGTTGGAGACTACTGTCCTGCCAGGACAAGCTGCTACCAGGAAACCATTTCATATACAGAAATCAACTGATCCTGAGGCTGATGGCAGAATACCTGAAACTCAGGAACCAGGAAAAGATGCTGATAGAAGACTACCTGAGACCACAAATTTAGGTGAACCTGAAATAGAGAATAGAACATCTGAGAGCCAAGACTGCGAACATGAAACCAAGGGCTGGCCAGCCCAAGGTAGTCACAGAAAGGTTTCAGACACAATTGATATTAGAGCTGAAACAAACAAGAGGCAAAACCCTGAGGCACATGAAACAGCAGAGCAGACGGAACCTGAGAGAAAAACTCAGGCCCCAATCGTGAAAGCCCAAATACAGGATGGGAAGGATCAAGAATTCCAAGGATCATCAAAACAAAAAGACACTGAAAAAGGTTCTGCTATACAGGATCTGAGCTCAGAAGAAGAAAACCAGGATCATCCCGAACTTGAAGGAGCATCAGTCTCAGAAGAAGACTTAAGACATGCTGAGGAAGGCATAGCAGAAGGATTTGTACCCAGCAAAGATGATCCTGCAACTGAAGAAATACCAGGAACCAGAGAAAGAACACAAGAGTTGGCACCACTTAGGAAGCAATTTGAAGGAAAGCAGGGCAAGTCCACCAAGACTCATGACACACCAATCAAGGAGGAGGATGACTATGACAGGAAAGGTAACAAGTTGTCAGTTACACAGGTTGATGAGGAGTCTTGTGAAATGCCCAAAAACCTGGCTCCAGAGGAAGTTAACAATAGCTCAAAGACAAGAGAACTACATGTGCAACAGGATTCTAGGGGTCAGGTAGATTCATGCAGAAGGACTTTGCAAGAAGGTCACCCCAATAACTCAGATCTCCAGAAACAAAGAGTACCAGATGAGGACAGCAGAGTAGACAACACAGGGGTGTTATCTGCCAGAGAGGATGTGCAGCTCCCACAGGAACATAAACAGCCTACCAGAGAGGGCCACAAGAGTCTAGGCTCAGGGACTGAAAGTCCAGGTGTAACTGTAGAGCCTGACGAATGCACAGAGTCACAGAAATTCACAGCAGGAGGCCAAAACAGAAGGTCTCTGGAGGCAGGGATCTCGGATGGTCTGGATGCACACTCCCCTGGCCATGTTTCTGTACCAAAAATCCCTGGAAAAGAAAGCAACAGAAAAGAATTAAAGGTCCAAGGCCCAGAGACTGAAGAAGAGGAAGGTGGAACGCCAGTGACCCAGGAGACTTTATTTAAAAGCCTGGATGAAGACAAGTCAGCCTTCTCCAAGACACATCTTAAAACAGAGGAACCTGCGACATTGGAGGAAGAGGAGGAAGGTCCCCAAGAACCAGTAGGAGAAGGTGATAACTGGCAAAGCAACAAATCATTTTCATTATTACAAGAGAAGTTATGAGGAACTTCATGCACATCAACATGCCCCAGACTTCTTCCCTCCTGATTACCCACAACACCCATGTAAACATATGCAGATACGGATTAATTACCCTTTAAATTTTCTCCCTAAATTTCTATAAAAGCAAATAATAAAATATTCAGCAGTGGAAGTCACCAACAAAGAAAATGCGACCAAACAAATATAACCAGTTAAAAAAATTCTACCATGCAAAATGATTTCCAATGATTTATCATGTGATAATTTATCTTTATTTTTTTCTAAAAACAAAAAAAAATTCTTCTACATTTTTAGTAGATATCAATATCTTTTTTAATGTAGCAATAGAAAGTTGACATAAAATATTAACACATGCAGAGTATTCTGCTTCATAAAATCTCCTTCAGGGATTTCAAGATTATGCTAAAATTCCATCCCTAAAATAACTTCACATATGACCACAAATTAAAATAATTATGATTTATCTAGCATTTATTTAAGGTAAATTCATGACTCTTTGCTAATATCCTACAGCTGAAAACACACCATAGATTCATTCAACCAACTTTCATTGAATCCTTCTCCTTACACACCATTTCATAGCTTTTAACTCAAATAAGCAATCAGAGTAACCAATTTAAAGTATGTCTGATTCCATAAGAAGCTCTTGTAAGCAATCAACCAGTACATCTACTAAATGTTTACCCATTGAATTAAAATTGATAATTAAATAACCTGATGATCAATTTAATGTGTTTAATGTGTTTCTTTTCTTATCCTTCATTCTTCATTTTGCCTTAGAAGCACTGAACAGAAACAAAAACAATCTTAGTTTTCTGTGTTTCTTCAAAAGGCAGTAAAGCAAAATGGTCTCAGAGCTTAGTAATACCCCAGGAATAGTTATATAATATTTGCAAAAGCAAAAAGCAGTCCAATGCCCACTGCCTTTTCATCATGTTCTTAAGGCTCAATATGCTTCCATTTCAATTTTCTCTTTTTTCAGAACCTAAAAATCCAGATATTTGTCCTTTTTTATTTATTTTTATTTTCATTTTTATTTTTGTCAGTTGGGGTGGCTTGAACTCTGGGCCTGGGCGCTGGCCCCCAGCTCTTCAGCTGCAGACCAGCGCTCTACCACTTGAGCCTCAGCCCCACTTCCTGCTTTTTCTGCTTATGTGGTGCTGAGGAATTGAACCCAGGGCCTCATGCATGCAAGGCAAGCACTATACCACTGAGCTACCTTCCCAGCGCCATGTCCTTTTTTTTAATTCTGCATTCAAACCTAAATAACTATCCTTCTCTGAAAACAAAATTATCTTAAATGAGCAAGAATATTCACAAAAATTAGATATAGATATAGGTATATAGATATTGATATTGATATATTCATACACACACATTAGAACATAAACTAATCAGCCATGGTAAGCAAATTGACAGTACGTATGTACTGAGTCCAAAAAATTACTAAATTTATCAATAATAAATTCACAAGAGACACTATACTAATGGCTTATAAGCATATTACTATAGTTTGCATTTGGAATATCCCTCAAAGGTCCATGGGAGGACTGAAGTTACTGAATGCATGTCCTTAAAGAGGGGTTAGTACTCTGATTTTTTTTTTTTTATGGTCGGTTATGGGGCTTGAACTCTGGGCCTGGGCACTGTCCCTGAGCTCTTCAGCTCAAGGCTAGCACTCTACCACTTGAGCCACAGCGCCACTTCTGGTTTTCTGGTGGTTAATTAGAGATAAGAGTCTCACGGACTTTCCTGCCCTGGCTGGCTTTGAACCGTGATCCTCAGATCTCAGCCTTCTAAGTAGCTAGGATTACGGGCATGATGTCCAGCTTGATCAGTTCTTTTCTTTTTTTGGGGGGGTCCTGTTGTGGGCCTGAACTCTGGGCCTGGGCGCTGTCCCTCAGCTCTTCAGCATGTGGTGCTGAGGAATCAAACCTAGGGCCTCATTCATGCAAGGCAAGTGCTCTACCACTGAGCCACCTTCCCAGCCCTGATCTCTTCTTTTCTTTGCTTTCCCAATGCCATTAAGTGAGCATATGGTTTTGCTATGTGCTCCTGCCTTTATATACTGCTTTGATGAAAGTCCAGAAGCAACAGGGCCAACCAGTCATGGACTAAAATTAACAAAATTGTGAGCCAAAATAAATATTTCATCTTCATAAGTTGGGTTTTTTTTGGGGGGGGCGTCTGTGCCAGTACTGGGACTTGAACTCAGGGCCTCAAATTCAGGGCCTCATTCTATCATGTGGCCTTTTCACTCAAGCCTGACACTCTACCACTTGAGCCATACCTCCAGTTATCTCAGGTATTTGTTGCAGAAACAGAAAGCTGACCTGCATACATGTGAGATCTTTACTAGGCTTCTGGGAACTACAAATCAAAACTACTCTTTTGTTCACTTATCAATTTAGTTTTGTTTGTTTTTAATAGCCACATGATAAGATTCAGAGTGTTGGGAAATGAACTCTAAAATTACTTGGCCAGGATATAAATCACTGCAATCTTCTGGAAAAGCAATCTGATAATATGCATCAAAAATATTTAAAATACTTTTCGGATAATATTATAAGGCAATAATCCTTATTAAGGTTTATCTACAAAGATAGAGCCACCCAGGCATGGTGGTACACATCTGTAATTTCAGCACCCCGAAGGCAGAGGCAGGAGGATCACAATTCCAAGGCTAGCCTGAGTTACATAGTGAGACCCTATCTCAACACTCCAAGGGCTAAGCATGTAGCTCAGTGGTAGAGCACTTGTCTGGTGTGTGCAAAATGCTGTGTTAAATATATATTATTAAATAATATATTAAGTATATATATTTAAAGAACTATATATTTATATTTAATTCAATATATTTAAATATATTTCAACATATATTTAAATAAAGCATATTTAAAATAAATAAAATCCATATGTATAGAGAACTTAACCTCTTTTTTATTCTTAGATATAGTGAAATGACAACAATGATTCAAAATTATGAAATTAGATTTTGTTAAGCTAAAAGAGGAAGGATTATGTTATATGTGTATATATATATATATATGTATATGTATGTATACATACACATATTCCTACATACCCTCTGGAGACTATGCCATGAAATGAATATATACAATATGTATTTTTCCACCATCCTATGAAAATTCTTTTATTGAAGGTTACATTGTCCTCCATCTGACAAACCTAAAACCTAGCCTCTGTTTTGGGATACCCTTAAGGCAGCAGACATTGATGGCCACTTCTCCCAAAGAGCTCCCTCTGCTGGTCTTTCCCCATCTCGCTGTGAGCCCACCCCATCCAGTACCCAAGGTTGTGGACTCAAACCAAGGGTTCTTTTTTTCTTGGCTTTTTCCTTTAAGAACCTGTCCTTCATCCATTTTCTAGCATCTCTTGTACACTGATGACTTTCCATCAACATTGTTCAAACCTCACTATGCACTCCAATCGAAACTCTAAAAATACAGGTATCACCAGTGAGATTTTTCAATCACAGCCTTATAAACTCATCCTCTGAACATCCTTTCTTCTGTCAGTCCCTCAATTCCCATTTTGTCAAACTTTCAAGGCATAAACTTCGAAATCATCATTTACTTTGCTTCTTTCTTCGTCTTCACATCAAATCCACCCTAGTTTCTTGATAAGGTTTTCCTTAAGTCCATTTTACAGGTATATCTTTGACTCTCTACTCCCTATAGAACTTTCTGTACCCTCCACCTAAAATAATATCTCTCTTACTTTTACTGCATGTTCAAAGACTGCAGATCAGAGGGGATCCAATGCCAATAACACTTCATTGATTCATTCCAAAGTGTTTATTGAAAAAAAAATCCATGGTGCCAGATAGTGTGTGTGGCATTAGGGATACAATAGTGACTAAATAAGTACTCTTGGTCTTGGAGACTGTATTCTAATAAGAGAAAGAAGAGAACAACAGCAAACCAGAATAACAAGAAATGAACAAGAGAATTCCAGGTAATTAACATAAAAAGAGAGGAGGCAGAGTGCAGACAGAACCAAGAAAAAGTGCTGCTCCAGAATATTAACCCATCAGAATGCCCCATCCCAACAGACCTTAACCTCCCCCAAAGTCCATAATCTGTACTTGTGTCTTCTGTTTTTACCTTTGTCCTTTGAATCACAATTATTTATGTGCTTGCCTTAGCTCTCCTCTTTAACTATAAACTTGATGGCAAGGTTCACAACTTACACATCTTGCTATCCTTCATTAGCATGGAATTTAGACCAGATAGATCCTATGGTCCCAATAAGTATTTGTTGAATAAGGAAATGAAGGACCATCTCATTGCAATACCCTCTCAGCCAGTCTCCCCTACTTCTAGTTCATTTCCCATGAAACCACCCTTTACATTTTGCAAGACACTGTTTTGTGGGCAGTTTTTTCCTAGTCCAGAGGCTTAAACTCAGGGCCTAGGCACAGTCCCTGAGTTTTGTTTGCTCAAGACTAGCACTACTACTTGTGTCACAGCTCCACTTCTGGCTTTTTTTGTGTGGGGGAGGGGGTCATTTATTGCAGATAAAGGGATTCACAGACTTTCCTGCCTGACTGGCTTTGAACTGTAATTCTCAAATCTCAGCCTCCTGAGTAGCTAGGATTATATCTGGCAAAACACTAGGGGGTTTTTGTTGTTGTTTTAATCTCTCGACTTCCCATTGTCCCTCTCAATGGCTTTCCTTGACATCATAGTAAGTCTAAACTGATCAACTCTCTATCCTATCCTTCTTATTACAATTTATTACTACTAGTTTCTGTAGAAATCTTTCTGAGGGTATCAGAATGGTCATCTAACTATCTCTAGCTCTAACTTTGGTCCTGTCCTACTAAGTTTATAAGGGCACTATTGGTATTAAATTCATTTGCTTCATTTAAGCATATTTATCAAGCACTGGTTATATACTAGGTACTTTTGTGAACACTGGACATGCCCTAGTGAATAGAACAGCCATGTTTTCCACCCTCATGAAATATACCCTCC